AGGAGGAGGAGGAGGGAAGGGAAGTAACGAGATGGCAAAAAGCACGACGCTATATAGAGGTGTTGGGAAGATGAACGAGACCATTAGAGTCCTGGATATGTAGGAATTCAACAAGGTTGCGTTGCGAGGGATGGAGGAATCTAAGGCACCATGTCACTGTTGCGGCGGCGTCATGGAGTGTTTATCATCACATCAAAGCCGGCTTTCAGTCGGCCGACTAAGCTCTACAGTGGACGACGGTGCGATTTTACGCCATTTATATAGCCACGACAACCACCCTACCACTGTGTACAAGGCATAAAGTTCTTTTTCATGAATCTTTCGCCAAGAGTGTTTTTTTTTCAAAGGACTTGAGCCGCTCTATGCCGGCCACATCCGTCCTGCCGGTGCTCTGCGGCACGTACACTTGACCATGCGCTCAATCAAAAAACGCTCCGGCCCTTCGACGGCCGCCCGGCTGGACCCAGCGCCGCAGCCTGGGCAGCTCTTGGTATCCGGCTCGTCGTCGTCGTCGTCCCGATTCTGCTTCTTGTAGTAGTCGAGTGCCTTTTGGTCGTCAATCAAGACCGCAACACACACGCGCTCCAGAGTGTCGGCGTTGAAGGTTTGATACATGACGACATTGTCAAACGGCTTGTTGACGACGGAAAAGGTGTCGCCGCCCGCTTCCTCTTCGCTTTTCTCATGCGCCTCGCGGCCGACGAGTATCTCGGGATGCCTCGTCAGGAACGCCTGAACCTCGGCGTTGTCGGTCGAGGTGGTAGGTTGCGCCATGGGACTGCTGGTTTCTTGTTCTTGATGAGTTTGGGAGTATGGAAGTAAAAAGGCCACTGAAGAGTGTCAAGTAAGCGCGTGCGAGAGCAAACAATGCACACAATGAAAAAAATCCGGCAAGCCTACCCCTTTGAGTAGAGTGTTGAAGCAACAAAATTAGCGACTGTTTTTCCTTTGTCTTTTTCTTAGCAGGGTGACGATCCGAACCTGTCTCTTACGAATGGGAAATATGAAAGGAAATACAGAGAGGGAGAGAGAGTATTTATGGCCGTTTGTTTGCTGAGGGGACGAGCCTGATTGTACTGTGGCTGTACCGCCCGTCCGCACAGTGTATTAGTTGCAACGGGCGCAACGCAAGATTGGCGGCATCAGCTGTCAGACTCTAGGTGCCGTGTCTGATGCTGACACTGCCAATCTTTACCCAAGGCATACTGTATTCTCGACATTCAAATCAGGGAAAAGAAAGAGTCATACGAAAGATTGATAAACCATGTCAACATGTCAAACTAGCTGCCTAGCTACACCATCCGATCCGAACCACACCTTGCTTGTCCCATCACTGACTGCAACCCCGCTGGGCGGGGTATGCAAATCGGTCAACTCCTAAAACATGGTTTCATCATCATCTTGCCGTCGCTTGCACAGCCTGACGGTGCTCGCCAATCACGGGGGGAGCTTTAACGTGGCTGACAGCTCAGCTGATGGCGGCATCGACCGCCCACGTATCGGCAACTAGGGCATCGTGCGTCTGCGGTGCAGCTGTAGCTGCGGGCACAAAACTGGCCGCAGCGCGAGGCGCGCGCAAAGAGGCCCTGGGGCTCCGCCTCGCCGACGGCCCGGCGACATTGTCGAGGAGCCAGGCCGGGCTCCTCCCAACGCTTCATCACCTCGCCCTTGGCATCGCCGTCCCTGTTGTACGTCTTGTAGTACTCCTCGGCCTTTTGGTCGTCGACGAGTGCCACGGCCGAGATGCGCTCCTTGGTGTTGGCGTCAAACTCCTGGTACAGCACAATGTTGTCCACCGGCTTGTTGACCAAGCCAAACGTGTCCGCGCCGTGGCTGGCCTCGGCCTTTTCGAGCGCCTCTCGGCCCACCTGAATGTCGGGATGCTGGGCCAAGAAGTCCTCGGCCTGTGTTGCGCAAGCGACGAGGCCAGCATAGAGCGAAACTGCCACAAGGAACTTCATGTTGAAACTTTGTTTGTGGCTTTTTGACTGTTGTTAGTCAAGTATAACTTGGCAAGCAGCGTACTAAAATCATGGAACGTAGTCTCATAGATTTTGCCTTGTGCTTACTTTGAATAACTGAGTGTCTTTTTTTTTTGAGTGTATTTGCTTAGTACTCGTCGTGGGTGCTGTGATGATTGTGAATCGTGAGTTTGAAGGCAGCAACAACGGACCTTTATATACCTGAGCCGAGACCTCCAGATATCACATCAAGAAATCACTTTGACTCTATTCTGTCGAGATCAAACAGTGTCAACTCAGTGCACATACAGTCCCAGGTGTACAAACTGAGGCTAAATGTCTAACAGAGCATTGGCATTACACAACAACTAAGACGAAGCGACACCGAAGCGGTTGCACACATGCAGCCCAACCACCAACCACTTTTACTCAGCCACAATGACTGTACTGTCAATAGCTTTAGTGCTTACTTTGAATCTTGTGTCCCGTTTCGATGCTGTAAACTTCCGTGGTAGTCGTACGCAATGCCGATCTGCTTCATTACATTGTTCCGGGGTTCGATCGGCGAGGAGCCGGAACTTGCCAAAAGAAGTATAGATGTGCAACAACGCATATAATTATAGCCAAGAGTACACGGACTACGAGAAAACACAATCATATATCTTGACCTCAAAATGGTATTACGCACCAGTTGTGACCGGAACCCCGTATGGCAGCACGAATGTGAGACGAGACCAAAAACAACAGTCTCTCTTTTATCCCTCATTAATCCCTATAATACGAGCTATGATCCTGTTTATTCATCTAGATGCTTCAGTGCATACTTGTAAAACATCAAGAGTGCAAATACTTTTCGGACATTTCTGATAATGTGCAGTGGCAAATAATATTGTCTCGGCGGTTAAGGAGCGATTACGAGAGAATTTGTCTTTGGACAGAGACGCATCTTCAAAAGAGGCTGAGATGAGCATGATCTACATATGAAATCAGATCACTCGTCTGACACGGCAGATCTCTCTGCAGGTGAGCGCATGGAATCGGAAATAGAGCTGTGACAGTCAGCCAACCTACCTTAGACGGATCGCACCGGAAAAGAAGATTCTGAGCAAATCAAACTTTATCTTTTTAACCATTTCTTGCCATGGAAAAATTTATAACGCGCTTGGCAGGTCACTGTTCAGGCCTGGTCTTCTCCGATAGTATCTTGCGTAGCTTGCTCTGGTATGATGTAGTTTCCGAAGCCAAGTACATGAACCATTTGGGCACTGGGCAAAGGGCAAACAGGGGAAAAACACGGCAAGTTTTCATAGGTGGATTAATGGCTACCTTGCGCTATGCAAGGTGTTGCATGCTGACGTGAGTATAAAGGTGCTGCTGTCTAAGACTTGCGTGGGCACTGAAACTTTGTCCGTGAATTGCCAACTCGCGCATGCCGCGTCGCACGCTTTTTCTCACCTGATCTTGTGTATCACCGGTACTTGGCAAGCTGCTCTCCAAGTACATGATGTAAAATTGTGACCAAAATTGGAACTGACCGGTTTCAGATTTTGGTGCGCCGATTGAGCTGGCGTACACATCGCGCAGTTCCGCGCCGTCCGCCAATACATTGTCAGCCGCGAGATAATATCGACACCATCTGGAGAACAAAGTTACATATTCAGTGACATGAATATTTTTAGTCACAAATTGGATGAAAATAAGACAGTCATCATCTTACTTGTCAAGTTTCATGAGTTGTATTATCTAATCACGGCAAAGATGGAAAGCTCAATATCATACGCATCTGGGTACCCCATCTCCATACAGGCATTTACAGCGGCGTACCAAAACACCTGCATCTACCCAACAAACAAGCAGACGAATTCCGATCAGAGCTGGCGTCAAAGAACAAAAAAGTCCTGGAAAATGTCTACATACGATGGATGCACATTTGACAGGCCGTTCGTCAACACGTGATTATCCAGTGGAGTCATTATGAGTCGAACGAAGAGTCAACATCCGAAGCCGGCCACGATGCTTGGACCTTGCGACTACACATCATCAACATAGTCGTCATCATGGATCAACCTGTTGGGCCTCTTGTCTCAACCGAATCAGCAAAGCTTCCACCTGGCATCGAGCTTCGCGGACAATTCACCGGCCTACGCAGGCTAGATCCCTCCCATGCGACGGGTCTTTTCAAGCATCTTGGCGGAAAAGAAAACTTTTGGCGATGGACATACATGATGACGAGCGGATTTCCATCCATGGGTAGTTGCACAGAAGCAATTCGCGAATGGGCTGAAAAGCAAGATACATTCTTTTACTCGGTATACGACCGGTCGCTCTCTGACTCAGCGTCAGAGCCTGCCGGCATGGTGTCCTACATGGCGGCGGTCCCGGATCATCGACGAATCGAAATCGGTAGCGTTATTCTGGGCGAAAAGCTCGTCAAGTCGCGACAAGCCACGGAAGCATTCTATCTCTTCATAAAACATGCGATTGAGGATCTCGGGTACCAGCGCGTGGAATGGAAAGCCAATGCTCTCAACGCACCCAGTCGAGCTGCAGCTACCCGTCTAGGATTCACCTTTGAAGGAATCTTTCGGTAGGTGAATAGCGAATTGTCAACTTCTTGGGATCGCTTGCTAATGACGGGTTGCAGCAAACACATGGTCATCAAAGGCAGGCGGCGTGACACTGCGTGGTTCAGCATCACCGATGATGAATGGCCAGTCATCAAGGCCGGTTTCGTTGCTTGGTTGGACAAGGATAACTTTGATGACAACGGGAACCAGAAAAGGACGCTGCAGCAGTGCAGACTGCCCAACGGGACAGAATCCTTGAAATAAAGAGCTCGCCGCCTCCTTTTGGGTTATTACGTCTCGCTGGCTATACCCACGCGATCGTTGACGCCGGGCCCCTGGCCATCCCTGTGGCCACTCGCTGTTGAGTAACCAGGATTTTCAGGATGATCAGAGATCCGGATGCTTCTCGCGCTGTAGCAGTAGCGATAAAGTCGCCGGATGTGAGCATTACCTGATACGCGCCAGCCTGGAGCTGGACGTTACATTACCCGACGGCCAACGGGGGGACAAAGTAAATGGGCCTATAATGAGAATCCTGAGAGACTACCTTTTTCATTTGTCATCTATAAATTCTAGAAGATGGCTTTTAGCATAAAAAAACCGACTTATTAGAGTAGTTTTACGGCTAAATACTGCTCTCTGTCTTAATTATAATTCTATTATTTTACTATTATTCTAATACTATTCTATTTCTCTAGGTGCTAGTGTGGCGCATCATGAGGATAGGCTGGCGTTTTTGTCCCCCCCCTTTGCCCGCTACGCAAATACCAGACTGACACCGGTGTGTGTACGTAGCTACACCAAAAAAAAAAAAAAAAAGGAAGGAAGAAAAGTATTACCCTTCTCTAATTAGTGCGAAAAGTCATAATTTACTTCATGCACTCCGTGGCTGGCCTTTGATGCCGTTCTCCAGCTCATTAGCAGCTCAGGCTGCTTACACCTGCGAGGAACTTATGTTTGCCGGCCAATTTTTAAAGGCTCGAGCCACGCTAGAAAGTATCAGCAGGGCCTCCATACTACCGTTGAACCAATTAGCCTGTTTGCAAAGAGTATAGCGTCTGCATATACCCTCACCAACCTAGCTAGTTGAAGGGCACCTACTAGCCAAGGCCGGCCAGTAGTTTCGCAAGTCGGCCATTCCTACTCGGATGGATGATGCCGCGTGGCGTAACTCGCTCCGCCATCTTTTGAAGCGGGCACCACTGAGCATCGACCATGGATCGATATCTAGTCCTCCTCCTGCATTCGGGCAGCGAGCCTCGTTCTTTTTGATGTTCCAATATTCCAAATTACGAGGCGGGAGTCACAGCACTTCAACGTGGGCAGTGCGGGGTCAATGTGGTCCCAGTACGACTCTTTCTGGAGGGGCCATCGTGCTTGTATTTATGTAACCCATGCCCAAAGCTGTTTGTCTTGGATGCCAGGACCGGGCGCAAGATCCTTCCAGAAGGTAGTTAAAAAAAAAAAAAAAGGCGTTGCCAAGAGCAGACAGTCGATGCCAATTTCCGTACATGCACCCGGCCAACTTTCCCGATTCGAGCAAGCCGAGTGTGGCGCTGGTCATCATCCGTTCCTTTTCAACGACTTACTATCACTGCTAATAATTGCCCCCATGGCAACAAGGCTGCGGGCCACTCACTGGCTTTTTATCGTTTACGAACCGCTACTCGGTGGCGCACCCATCTACTTTGTTAGCCACGGCAGACCATGCAGTCCCTATGCAAGGAAGGTGACAATTGTGCCATCTAGAGACTCTATCTAAATACCATTCCGCCCCCTAATATCCCCCCCCCCTTCTGCACTCTCACATGTCTTTGGTAGCTGTACAGAAAAGCTGTGTTCTGCATGTGCAACGAGTGTTTGCTTTCTGCGGCAAACAAGCTCTTACAACAACTTCTTATTTCAAAGCTACGTGTACCGAAATAACTTCCGTCCTTGGACCATTTTTCAACATAAAAAATCTTGAATCCCAAGTTTTTGCTACGTACAATGTGGAAAGAAGAGGAAGCAAGCTCGGCGGAAAAGGCCGAAGTAAAGGTGGCCGAGGGCCATGGCACGAGCACGCTCCTCAACCAAGTCGCCTCGGTGCAGCCTCACCCCGACTTTATGACGAGAACAGGGCTGAATATCGAATCATTCAAATGCGCTCACTATGGGCCCGGCCTCATTGAGCTGGAACGACCGATGAAACCACGGCATCTGAACATGATTGCCATTGGCGGCTCCATTGGTGCTGGCTTCTTCGTGGGCTCGGGTGGTGCTCTCTCCAACGGTGTAAGAGGATCTAGTGCGCTATCAACGGGAGAAAAGAAAAAGTCTAAAATCAACTCCAGGGACCTGGTTCATTATTCATCGACTTTCTCATCATCGGCGTCATGATGTTCAACGTTGGTGAGCAACTCGACGCCCACTCTACACACGTGCGCTTCGTTGCAGATAATTGACAGACTCGCAGTACATGCCCTTGGTGAGCTGGCCGTCATGTATCCCGTTTCAGGCAGCTTCTACGTCTACTCTGCTCGGTTTATCGATCCATCATGGGGCTTTGCCATGGGCTGGAACTACGTCTTCCAATGGGCGTCGGTCCTTCCTCTGGAGCTAACAATCTGCGGCATCACCATTCAATACTGGAATAAAGACATTAGCATTGCCGTTTGGATATCTGTATTTCTTGTCATCATCATTATTGTCAACGTCTTTGGAGCTATTGGCTATGCCGAAGAGGAATACTGGTCCGCAGTCTTCAAGCTCAGCGCCACAATCATTTTCATGATTATCGCTCTGGTCCTCGTGCTCGGCGGCGGGCCTTCAAGCGGAAGATATGACCATTACTGGGGCGCGCGGCTTTGGTACGATCCCGGCGCGTTTGCCAATGGATTCAAAGGCTTCTGCTCCGTCTTCGTCACCGCTGCGTTTTCGTTTTCCGGCACCGAGCTCGTCGGCCTAGCGGCTGCCGAGACAAAGAACCCCCTCAAGTCACTGCCCAGCGCCATCAAGCAAATCTTTTGGCGCATCACGCTCTTTTACATTCTGGGCTTATTCTTTGTTGGTCTCTTGATTCCGTATACTGACCAACAATTGCTGAATGCTGGTGCATACAATGACCCGCATGCGTCGCCTTTTGTCCTCGTCGGCAAATACGCTGGCTTGACAGGCTTTGACCATTTCATGAACATCACCATTCTGGTCTCGGTGCTGTCGATCAGTGTCTCTAGTGTCTATGGCGGATCTCGAACTCTCACCGCCTTGGCCCAGCAAGGCTATGCTCCCAGGTGGTTCACCTACATTGACAAGTCTGGGAGGCCCCTCTTCTCCGTCATTGCCATTATTGTCTGCGGTGTGATTGCATATGTCAGTCTGAGTGCTACCGGACCCGTGGTCTTTGCCTGGCTGCAGTCGATTTCAGGGCTTGCTGCCCTCTTTACCTGGGGGTCGGTGTGTCTTGCCCACATTCGCTTCAGACACGCATGGAAGCACCAAGGCCACACGGTCGACGAGATCCCATTCCGTGCCGCCGGAGGTATATGGGGCTCATATATTGGACTGTTTCTCAACATTATCGTCTTGATTGCCCAGGTAAGCTTTCTGCTCTTATTAAATTGTCGAAAGTATTAATGCGTGCCCAGTTCTACACTGCGGTGGCCGCACCCATTGGCAAGTCTGGCGTCGGTACGGCTGAATCCTTTTTCAGATCATATTTAGCTGCACCAGTCATTCTCTTCTTCTGGGCGATTGGATACCTATGGAAGCGCGAGGGCTGGCTTAAAATGTCACAGATTGATGTTGATACTGGCCGCCGCGAATTAAACTGGGAGGAGATTAATGCATACCGTGCGCAAGTTGCGGCTTGGCCCAGGTGGAGGCGCATTGTACATATGTTCTTCTAGGAAATGTAGGCTTTTTGGGGGGTGGTCTGGTCATGTAATAGGAAGGAAGTCGGAGTTTGTCAATACCACGTCTTCCACTTCATTCTCGCTTTTCAGCTAGAGCCGGACATGCACACTAGTATGAATAAAGCAAAGACAAACAACGATAGCTCAGTCAGAGCAAGATTTAAATTCATCTTAATACATGATATGAATGACAAGTCCTACACTATTGCCGCTGCTCCATCTATTTCACAGCGTCTTGGTCATAGTAAAGATCGCATGCGTGAGGATGCTGCAGACAGTACTTTGGTACGAGCGCAGTTGCCCCAATACCGTTGGCGACGAGGTACTCTCTAAAGTTGAGAATGCGCTGCGTGAAAGAAGTGGTGCGCTTCTTGCCCGTCTTTGGGTCTCTGTTACCCGACCAGACGAGCTCACCGAGGGCGGCGGCACGGGGCCACATCTTGCCGCTGATGATGGTGTCATCGACCTGCTCTGACCAAAGAGGGGCAGAGGCACCAATAATGTGCTTGGCTTGTGCCGCGGTCAGATTCTTGGCAAAGTCATAGTCGTAGATGCGCTGCCAAGTCTTGTAAGGAGCGCACCAAGAACCGCCATTGCCGCCGTAGTTGAACGAGGGGGTGGCCGCAGTGGGATCGGGGTTCTCCTGAACGTTGTAGCGTGCGTCGTTGGTAACGTAGCCACCGAAGCCGCAATCGAGGTAGAGGAAGTCGGCGCTGGAAACAATAACATCATAGCCAGCCGCGGTCAGTTTGCCAATATTAGTGATGCCATTGTTCCAGGACTGCATAATGACGTTTTTGGAGACGTTCTTTGCAGCGGCATCTGGGGACAGAACAACGTCTTCCCACATGACAATACGGCGGTCCTTGTTTCCAGTTATATTCTTGCTGGTGAAGATGGGCATGGCCGTATTGACCCAGTGCTGGTTGAGGTCAAAGTAGGTTCGGCTAGAGTCTGCAGCAAACCAGTCACGAATAGTCTTGCTAAAGTTGAAACAGCCAACCTGTAGCTCATCGCCACCAACATGGAAAAAGTCATCGGAGAATCGCTGAGACAGCTCCGCGTAGACCTTTTCCACAGCCTGGTAAGTCTTGGGGTTGAGGACATCGAGCTGACCGGGGTTAGGCTGCACGGCAGTGTGGAGGGGCCATTGGTCATTGGACCACCAGCTGTTCTGGCAAGTGACGATGTCGTTGTCGTATTGCTGCCATCCCAAAGCGGAGTGGCCAGGCATGTCAATCTCGGGCACAACGCGTACACCGCGGGCGCGCGCGTATGCAATGAGGTCTTTAACATTCTGCGCAGAATATATCTCCCGCTCGGAATAGGCGTCCTTGGTAAAGTCGGGCAAAGCATCGAGATGGATAGGCCAGGACTGGGCGTCAGTGATGTGCCAGTGGAGAATGTTCATCTTGGACAGGGCAAGTCCGTCGATCTGCTCTTGTAGCTTTTGGACAGAGATGAAGTTGCGGCCAGAATCAACCATGACACCACGGTAAGGGTAGTTTGGGTGATCCTTGATCTCAACAGGCTGTTCAACCATGAGTCCGCCGTGACCGTCGGAAATAATAATCTGCTGCAGAGTGGTGAAGGCGTGAAGAGCGCCCCAGGACGTCTTGGCAGTGATTTGGACCTGGGAAGAAGACGAGGCAATGTTCAGCGTATAGCTTTCATCCACGCCGTGCTTGAGATCGGCTTCCCAGTCCTCAACCTGTACGCTAATCTCATTGAGCCATCGGGAGTTTTGATTGGCGGGTGCGGAAGCTGATGGTGCTGAAGCTGATGGTGCTTCTGCATCACCAGCCTGCGCTTCAGCGCGCTTGCTGTTGCTCGTGGTGTTTCGACCAGGAAAGGGTTCAAACTCGGGGATAGGCTGCTCAACGGCCTGAGGAACCCAACGTATGGTTCTTATGGCACCGTGAGCGCGATTCCACGCTTCACTGACAATTCTGACATTGTCCTGAGTGCCCCAGCTGGCGTTGACGGCACGAAGCGACAGGTACCCGACGGGAATGGGGCCCGAGGAGCCCCAGGTGATTTCTTGGGGCGCCGGCAGTGGGTTCACCTTGACGGCAGCAGCCCCAAGTTCGCTGGCAGTGGCCAGCCAAAGCAGCAAACCAGAGGACAATGACTGAGAACGCATGTTTTTTTTTTCTTTAAAGAAAAATAAAAAGAATGCAAGAGGCGAGAAAAGAACTTCACATTGGGCATACAGTCCAAGACAAAAAACGGGATGCTTGCTGATCGTCGGGGCACCTCCCTACTTTTTGTATGCAAACGCGCTGGAGAGACAGTGGGGGGGGGGCCTACCAGAGCGCTAAAACTGACAAACTGGGGCGACCATCAACGGGTTGTTGCATCCTTGGGTAATTAATACAGATTGAATATCTGCTACCATGATGGCCCTTCCCGCGCCAGCTCTTGACTAGTTATGCTAACAGGGCTAAAAGGCGATCAAGTCATGCAGGAGTGCCGCAATGCAACCCAACTATCCGTACCTTGTCAATGCAGGTGGATGGTGGATGGGAAGAAATTGGGATGCCAAGTGCACCTTGTGTCGTTCTTGTTGGAAGGACAATGCCCCTCCCTGGTGTGTTGCTGTCATATGCATAGGTATGGAGACGGGTGATCTAAGTCACACAGACCTATACCCAAGGCAGAGTAAGATTTCAGGGTATTAGCATTGCGCTTATCTTGTATATTTTCAACTTTAACAGCGCTCATGATTCATCTTTCAATGTATATCTATTCGCCCGCTAAAAGGCCGACTCTGGTTATACTATCAATCGGTGAGCAGACGCAGCTTCATCTACATTAGGTATTTGTCTACCTTTAATCAAAGTCGCGACCGTAACCCTTCATCTTGGCACTGTAACGGTGGCTTGGAGCAGCTGAGATGAACCAGACAAATTTGTCTCGGCCAAACAACTAGGACAGCACCCCCCCGCACCCCGAAGCACTAGCAAGAATGCATAGCAATGACGTTGCAACAACACTACAACTACGGGTGGCGGCGATGCTAGCTACCTACAGTGGGTGTAGGTAATTAACTTCAGCCGCTAGCTTTCCAAGCCTGCGCAGCTAGAAACTCCAACTGAATATTTGATAGAACCGCGCATCCTGGCCAGCTGCGTGCTACGTTACCCCCCGTCTTCGATTCGGGATATTTGACAAGATCATGTGCCAGCCATCCTGCATTGAGTCGATTGCTGCCACGACGTCACATACATTCTGCATGCGCCAAGCGTCCATTGAAATCTAGGGGTCAAGAGCGGATAAAGGTCCATGAACATGGTAACAAACAAGACGGCTGAGGATATAATTCACCCACCAGGGTCTTTTCTACTTGAGTAAATAAAATATTTTTTAATTGTGGCTCGATTTCGTCCTCGGGTTTTATAGGTGTTCAAACGAGAAAATATGCTGGTTAATCCATGCAATAATGGTACATCACCCACCCTGTGCCTGGGGCCTGGGGTTTCAACCAAAGGAAGGATTCCACAAGAAGCACATTGAGTTGGAGATGAAATGTTCCCTGCATGCTCGCCAGCGGTGTGCAGTCTCGCGTTTTGTTCAAGATGGGGCATTTGTAGACTCACCTGGAGAATCGTCGGTCAACTTTAATCTACTTTGTATAAATTTTCTTGACGTTGCATCAAGCCACTGAACAAAATTTATATCAAGTAGAAATTACCAAAACATCGCTATACCACTCAATCAGTCGACTCCACTTCCTGCACTGGAGCATGGCAGGGCTCCCCTCACCTAGCTTGGTTGCTACCCCGCATAGGTACCTAGCCAGCAGAGCTTGCTCTTCTGGTAGCGTTTCACCAAAAACAAAGCTCTGCATTTACTCCGTAGTGATTGAAGAGTACGGCTACGCGACATGTCTACTTCGAGTGCAGAATGGATCAACACGATCCGCCAAGCTGTGGATAATAATCTCGAATCAATATCAAAGATTAATTCTCAGGTACGCAGTCTCTCTCTCTCTCCCCAATTTGAAAACGCAACCGCCCGCTGATGTGGTACGAGTTCAAGATTCACAGCGAACCAGAGCTCGCATACGAGGAACACAAAGCCCACGCCAACTTTGTCTCCGTGTTAGAGTCGCTTGGCTTTCAGGTAACTCCACAGGCCTACGGTGTAGCCACCGCCTTTTCAGCCGAGTACGGCTCCGGCGGGCGCTTAGTCGTGTTCAATGCAGAGTATGATGCACTGCCCGGAATCGGCCACGCGTGCGGTCACAACTTGATTGCCTCTGCGAGCTTTGCGGCTTTTCTCGGCGTGGCTGCCGTTTTGAAGCAGACGCCGGGCGCTCCGGGCAGGGTGCGACTGCTGGGCACTCCGGCAGAGGAAGGCGGTGGCGGCAAGATTCACCTCATCAACAATGGCGCGTACCGGGATGCTGCTGCTTGTCTCATGACGCACCCGGGTCCCCAATATCTCCTTGCCGGAAATGTCACTGGCGTTGCCGCTGTCAAGATGCTTGCCAATGTCAAATGGCGAGTCATTTTCAGCGGGCAGACTGCGCACGCGGCCATGGAGCCCTGGAATGGCCTAAATGCCCTGGATGCCGTTTGCTTGTCATACAATGCAATTTCTATGCTAAGACAGCAAATTCGACCTCATGAGAGAATACATGGTGTCATAAAAGAGGGTGGTGATCGCCCGAATGTCATTCCCGCATCGACCAGTGTCGAATACTATGGTAAGTGGTTTAATACCTCGTTTTATACGGATTAGATTTGCGGCTCTGACACCTCACTTTTTAGTACGCAGCGACACCTTGGCCGCTGCCGAGCGGTTGTGGAAGCGTGTTCGATTGTGTTTCGAAGGTGCCGCCACTGCTACGGGTTGTCAGGTGCGGTATGAGCCTACGAATTCTTATGCGGATCTGCGATCCTCCATGGTACTCTGCAAAGAATTTGTCGCCACATTTCCTGAAGGGACAGTGTCTCTAGACGAGCCTGCCGACTTTCTCGCTGGCTCTACTGACATGGGAAATGTTACTTATGAGTGCCCTGGCTTCCATGGCGCTTTCGGAATTGACACGGAAAAGGGCCAAGGAAACCATACCAGACCATTTGCCGACGCTTCTGGTCTGGCAAAGTCCTTTGATCGGGCTCTAGAGTGGGGGAAAAGTATGGCCATAGTAGGATACCGTGTCCTGTCCGATGACGACTTCAATCAGACAGTTCAAGAGGACTGGAAAGCAGACATGAAACGCGCAGCATTGTAAAATATTCATATTTACATCGATTTTGCGCTGCGCTGCGCTGCACGGGAATAGTCACCATTTGCACGAAAAACGATACAAAAGAAGTAACGATCTGGAGAGGAGTTGGAAGATGTATTCGGGTCTGAACTTGTGATAGAATCATGGTGTTATTGTGGTGTTGACTGCTGCTTTCTGGGCTTTCTAGTCAATGAAGCAAAGAACCGAGAGACCCCACGTTTGGCAAGGGCAGCTAATTTAAAAGGCAGCAAGAGATACTTGGTAACCGTTTCGAATACCCACAAAGAATCAGCCACAATCTCCTTGAGCGCCCACTCCAGTGGAAAAGACCTTCTAGGCTTGGCCTGTACAACCGTTGCTTTTGACCCTGGAAAGTGCCCAGGTCCTTGTCGGCCGTTGGGCTGCACCAACAGGTGATGGTCTTCGTGCTCACGCGCTCGCACGCTGTCCTTTGTGAGCTTCTCGCGCAGAAGCGAGCGTTCCGCTTCTGGCAAGTCCTTCCACCAATGATCCACCGTCGTATACATGTATTCCTGTATTTGAGACTTGTCCTTGACGAATGCTGGGTGATGCATGATTGTGAGAATTTCGTCAATAACCTTGTCTGCGTCTGAGTCAGTGTTATCCCAACACTTGACGATTTGTTGTGTTGTCCAATTCGTAGTCACGGTTGCAATAAGCCCTGCTGGTCTGTTGAGAACATTGCAAAAGTGGTCCTTGGATAGATCAGAGTGGCTAGGGTCCGAGGCGGACGAGTCTTTATCAAAGACGGCTGCTGAGCCAGAAGACGCTGCTTCCTTGTCTACCCTAGCCTTGGCTGCTCGCAGTGTAGCCCGCAATTCTTTGACAGAAGATTCGATGACGATGCGCATGGCCTTGAAGACTAATTGATTGGTCAGGTCGCTCATTTCGGAGCTTGAATTTCCAGACAATTCCTGGTCATCGCCGCTGGCGACCTCTTTCAACCACTTCTTCATTCGGTCATGAAAGAAGAAGAGGGGCTCAAGAGCCTGCCAAACAAGGGAGGGATCAATGGAAGGTTTCGACTTGGTGGTGTCAACAGAAGAGTTTTCGTTATCATCAGCAACGACGTCCTCGTCATCAGATGAAGTAGGTGACTCTGGTTTGAGTTTCTGTAATACCATGTGAACTGTCTTTAGCTGGTTGACGAGGGCATTATTTTCTGTTGAGAATGAGAATGTTTGAATCGAGGCAATCCCAGTCTCTATCGCATCGAAGAGTTGATCGAAAGCTGTAGCGCCGAAGCCGAGATGAGTCTGTACTTGGTTCAGCGACCCTTGGGATTGTAGGATTGCCATATCATCGGCTTCTCCAAGCAGGCTATGAAAGATGTCGAGCATGCCGAAAGTGCCCGTGACGAGAGGGGCCACTTTGCGGTCGCTCTGAAGACTTGACGGGAGCGGCAATCGGCAGGCGTCGCCAACAAAGGCAAAGACGTCTTCCTCACCAAGCTCCTGTAGACAAAGTTCGATGTAGTTGCTATGCGCCGGAAAATCCTCGAGTGTATGAAGTGCAGCTCCGAGGTGTATAAAAGATTCCTTTTGCGCGGCATGGTCACCAGCCCTGCCACGACGGCCGAGGTCGATACACTTGCTTAGCTGGTCACGGATATAGTCCGAAGACGTCTCCCACGAGTTGCCAGAGTTTGCAATGTAATTTTTCATGCCAGTTTCCGGATCGAACTCGAGCTCGACGGGATCCACGGGACCTCTGAGCCGAGGATCAATTGATTGGGCGTTGTCGCTGTAGCCGCAAGGATTGTCAATGTGCTCGACATGTCTGTAGCAGCCAAGCCTTTCTCTCGTAACGTCAAATTCGTCCGTCGCATATCCGAATTCCATCATGGCCAATATGGAGACAATGGCGCGAAGGATCGACTCGGGGATATTCTCCAAACAAGTTGCATCCACAACCTGCGAGAAGTCGCGCAGCCAGTTGCCAAAATATATTTGCCGCCTCTGCAGCTGAGTGAAGCCAATGTTGGTGACGATACTTGAAGGCAAGAAGCGCAGAACCTCGACAATGTCGCCATGACGCCAAACAAATTCTTTAAAGTTGCTGCCGTCGGCGACGGAGCCTGCGCCAAACGCCGAGACGCTGGTCGCGAAGCCGAGGACCAGAAACAGCAGCAGAGCTGCGCGGCTGGCACTCGACATGTTGGAGGACCAGCTGTGGTTAGAGCCCGCGAGTATTGCGGCGTGTGTAACGAGCCTTTCTGCTACGAGACGGCTTGGCGTGAGGAAATCCAAATGTGAAGAAAATACGGCCGCGACTTGTATCGGGCTCGCGATGAAATTCTGATCCACATTTGGAGACCCACCTGCAGGGCCGCCTTTGTCGTCATTGAATAGTTTTCCTCGGCAAACAGAGCTATCGATTTGCAACAATGGCAAGGCAAAATTGGACGAAAGAAGACTTTGGTATTGCGAGAGAGACACTCTATAAAGTGTCATTTATTCATAACTGACAAACCTCACAGCGTCTGCCACTCTGGTCTACAAGGCATGTTGCAGTCCCCAAGCAGGGATCGTGGTACCCATCGCCTGTGCTACGCCGCTTGCGAGACCACTGCTCGAGCCAACAGCTCTAAATTGAAGCTTAGACTCGAGGGGGCGAGCTTATATCCGTATTCTGCACTGCCGAACCAAAGAACAAGAGGCGTGCTGGTACAGATGGCGATGTTCAATGATTTGTTCCGTCACCAAAGTCGATACCGTGCAAGGGGAAAGTGGGTACATACAGCTCCTCTTTTTCGACAGGGGTGAGAGGGACAAGGAACAGGAAAAAGCTTCCGAGCTTGCAGCCTATCAGCGTAATCAATCTCTGTTTATTCACAAGTTTGACAAGCTGACAAGCAGTGTGCTCGTCTGTTGCCTATAATCTCTCTGAGGGTGATATCAAGTCGTTTACTTTATTATGAAATTTAGAAAAGAAGAAGCATGACAATAGGCAAAATTGCACCACTCATCTCGAACCACGTCAGCCAGCCTCCCGCAAACCTGCTCGATTTGGTCGCAACGCCCGCCAGCTGAACAAGCAAGCCAGCCATTTAGGCCCATTCACTTCAACTTGATGGGCAGCTGTCGCTGTATAAAAGGTGCACCCGAGCGTACTATCAACAAAAGTAGGTAGGCATACTCTCAACACATTATTTCTTCATCTTTGTGCCGCCGCCAGAAATCCAACCTCAATGCTACCCCGAGCCATTTCAATTCCTGCTCTGCTGGCGTCAGCCCTTACCCCGAGCCTGGCCCAGAGCATCGCTGGCGTCGACAAGCGCTGCACGGCACCGAGCCAGTACTGCGGCAACGGCGCTGTCTGCTGTCCCGGCTCCGCCTGCAGCTTATCCGGCTACTGTACACTTTACGGTACCGCAGGCCAATACTGTGGTAACGCCGTGCCGTGCGCGTCTGGCTTGGATTGTAGCACAGCTGGCTATTGCACACCGTATGGCAAAAGAGGCGATTACTGCGGAAATGCTGTCCGATGCGCCGCTGGCTTGAATTGTAACTGGAAAGGTTACTGTGCCTAAATTGAATCAAGCATGGGGAAAGGGGGCGCTCAAATGCTGTCAATCAGGTTGACAACGACAAAGCTGCTCCAGGCCGCACTACAAACTCAAGTCGCTTCTACGGATGACGTGAAATTGTTCATATATAGGAAGCACTGAGCCTGACAATTGAAGATCAATGTATATAAAATGACTACATTTTTCAGTAGATAATCTCGCTGTAGTTACGGGTTTCCCACATGGCGCTTACCATTTTTTAGCCGTCGAACCGGCTATCGCCATCTCCCAGTGTTCTGCAACTGTCGCCTCAGCCATGTTTCATCAACCGTCGTTGCCAGGATCAACTTTCATCACAAACCACTGAAAAAGGTAAACGAGAAAAGGCCCCGCTCGTGTTTCGCTCCGCATTAAAGCCTGGAGTTTGTCTTGTAACTCGTGATGCCTTATCCTTTTAGCGCGGGCGAATTCCAAAAGCAGGCTCTGTGCTTTGCTGACATGCACCATTCACAAGCAGGTAAGCATAATAAGCTTTGCCTTGCATGGCCTCGTGGTAGTCTTGAGTTTAGTCGATATGCTCTCTTATTATTCAGGGTCGTGGAGAATCTCTTGATTCCAACGCTCCCAACGCTAGGGCAAGCAAGTCTAAATAACGACCATGTCTTACTGATCAAGTCTTCATCCAGCCGGACTTTGTCAAGGCCGGCCCACGGGTGATGAAGACTTTCCGCTGGATTCCTGACTCTTTCACAAAGCACACCACGTATGGAAAATCATAATGAAAAAAAAAAAAAAAAAAAAAAAAAAAACTACTTTTAACATACTATTCATAAGTCTCACTATTTCAAAAGAAAAAGAAATTGATCCTCTTTAGCCAAGAGCCGAATCTCGGGCGGCCGGGGCGGCGTTTTTTTTGTCACCATTTGGCTGGGCGCCACCGGGTGTTCTCTTCCTATTTGTGCGTCAGTGGCTTATTTGAAGCGGCTGACATGCTCTTAAATGTGCTCCATAAGCCCACAAGCCGACTTGGCACCATCCACTAAGGTCGCTGGAAATACTGCTGCCTGCAAACGATCTGGTTTTTTGGTCCGGCCACACGCATGACCGGCTTAGGGATCTGCCACCATTTCATTAAACCATGGCGAACTAGACTAGGTAGAACGCGGATAGAAAGTACAGTTTTACTAGCCGATACAAGTCATGCGGGCATTTGAATTGTGCTTGCCATCACATTTCTTCCTCCTGTTTGTTTCCTGGCCGTATTTCGTATACGACTAATCCGTACCGGTTCCGGTACCACCGCAAGGCTCTACGCCACATGCAGAATCCGTTACAGCGACATTACCATGTGGCACACTTGAATCGTACGAATAACATCTCCGCAGCGTATGGCCGGGTGCTTCTTACAGCATAGTCATGGAGAATTCTGAGCTATTCGCTGACGCTGTGGAGATAAGGCTAGCAGTAGTGTTGCCCTCTCCACCTCCGCATTACAGGCTACAGCTCAGCAACCCCATCCGTGGAACGGTGGAGTCGACTCTTTAGAGGCCATTTCCATACTATTTTATTCTTCAGGAAACAAACGTGTGGCATCCAGGAGTCCGGACCCTAAGAGGCCAGGCTGCATTCGTCATAAATAGCTCGGATCCCCCAGTATTTGCTCGACCTGGAAGCTGACCACACTTATTTTCCCCAGAATTTCGTCTTCTGCCCTTGTGGACTCACTGCAAACATGGAAAAAAAGATCTCCATTGACTCCCCGGACTCACCTTCTGCGGAGCATGTCCCCGAGGACAAGCTTCGCCGAGAAGAGTTTGACCAGGAAACTGGTGGCCGCCGCCAGTCCGTCGCCCACAACATTATTCAAAATCCTCTCAAGGTAAGGATACATCAACTCGCAAAGCAAAATTTGATAATTATTTCATCACTCACATCATTTAGCGCAAATCTGAGCAGGATGTCGTTCTGGAAGCGGAGCAGTGGGCCAACTCGCATGGCATGGAACAACATGCGAGCTTGTTTGGACGCGCTGCTCTCGTTGCGCGAGATCCCGAAAACTTTGAACTCATGTCGGAACTACCTGATGACGAGCGACAGGCTCTCATCTATGAAAGAAATCACAAGTGGCACGGCCCCAAGATGCTGTGGTACTCCATCAGTCTCTGCGCCATCGGCGCGGCTACCCAAGGATGGGATCAGACCGGAGCCAATGGCGCAAATCTTTCCTTCCCGGAAGAGTTCAATTTGACTGGCGAAGGGAGGGATGAATGGATTGTCGGGCTTATCAACTCCATCATCTTTCTTACAGCTGGTTTGATGTACGTGCTGCGGACTCACGATTGATCGATCCTTATTCACCTTGCACCACGCTCATGTCACTGACCTTTGCCCCTACAGTGGCGCATTCATCGTCGATCCGCTCAATCACTATCTCGGCCGAAGAGGAGAGATTTTTCTTACGGCCGCCTGCCTCACTGCGACACCGATCGGCTCGGCATTTGCGACAAATTGGCAAGGCCTTTTCTGGGCCCGATTCATTATGGGTATTGGCATTGGCGCCAAGAATGCAACAGTCCCGATCTATTCGGCCGAAATGGCGCCACATAGGATCCGTGGCGCTCTGGTCATGTTCTGGCAGCTGTGGGTTGTCGTTGGTAAGTTTTTTTGCGGGCAACAAAAATACTCTTGCCCAGAAACCCCTGAAACCGTATACCTATCGAATGTATATTAATCGATCAAAAGGTATTTTCCTGGGCTTTGTTGCCAACATTGTCGTCAAAGACGTTGGCAAGATTGCATGGCGCCTCCAATTCGGCTCCGCCTTTATTCCCTCTTTCCTCCTCCTCATTGGTATATTCTTCTGTCCCGAGTCTCCTCGCTGGCTCATGAAGCACGGCAAATTCGCCAAGGGCTTCAGGTCAATGCAGCATCTCAGAGCCCATGACATCATCGCGGCCAGAGACTATTACTACTCGTATGTCAACTACGAGGAGGAGAAAAAGGCTGCCAGAGGTGCTGGCTACATTGCCCGCCTCAAAGACTGTTTTGTTGTTCCGAGGATTCGGAGAGCCAATTACGGAGCTTCTACGGTGATGCTGGCGCAACAAATGTGCGGAATAAATAGTATGAGACTCTAACCCTGTTTTACACAGGACTTTCACAGCAAGCCTCATGGAAAATTCTATACATCAGTGCTGACCAGATTTCTAGTCATTTCATTTTATAGTTCCTCCATCTTCACAAGCGTTGGGTATACTGCCACTGAAGCGCTGTATGCCTCATTGGGATATGGGGCAGTTCAAGTCGTCGCCACCATCCCCACGCTCTTCCTCATTGATACCAAAGGCCGTCGCACACTAACAATGATTGTAAGATGCATGTCAGGCGTTCCAGGGACCAGTAGGCTAACAACTGACAGACATTTCCTCTGATGTGCATTTTCCTCCTCGCTGCTGGCCTTTCGCTCTTGCCCAACGGAGCATACCATATTGCGCCACAGGCTGCTGACCAAAACCCCGCACACGATATGAGGCCAAAAGGCGCTAGAATTGGTCCCGTCGTTCTGTAAGTCGACGGACCGGGAAATTTCACATGTACTAATCACTGACGAACCATCTTAGCTTTGTTTACCTGTTCACTATATGCTATTCCCTAGGAGAGGGCCCTGTGGCCTTTCAATATTCCGCAGAGGTATTCCCGACAATTCAGCGTGAGCAGGGAATGGCCTGGGCAGTGTGCATCAACAACACGTTTGGTGAGTCCCTGTTGACACATTTCAAAGCTAGCCAGTGAATTAATTCTTCCTCGACACAGCCGGTATCCTGGGCCTGACCTTTCCACGAATGAAGACTGTCATGACATCAACCGGTGCCTGTAAGTCGCATCAGTTCTTTCATACAAACAAGGTAGCTAAACTAATGGCCAAAAGTTGGCTTCTACGCCGGTCTGAACCTAATCGCATGGGGCATGATCTTTTGCTTTGTGCGCGAGACAAAGCAGCTCACACTAGAGGAAATTGATCGTGAGTTGCCACCTAGCAGGGTACCCGAAAAGTGGCTAACGAGTTTTTTTTCTTTTACCTATTGCAGAGGTTTTCTCTGTTCCAACTAAAACGTTTCTACGCTACGAACTGAAAGAACAAGTTCCGTGGTTCATCAAACGATACATCTTTTTCCGGAATATTCCTCGCCCGCCTCCGGTCTTTGAAAAGGAAGGCAAGACAGATGGTATCTAAGCAAAATTTCTTCCATCGGACATCTTGTGTTATATAATTTGATTCAATACAACTTGCAATTCACCTGTGATATAGTTTCATTTTCCTTGGCAGTATTCATTATCATCAATTTTTGTTCTGCGACTACAATGAACAGAGACCCTCAGCCTGAAGAATCACTGCTCAACGCCGTTCAGTGCTTGTTTCGCCTGGTAGGCTGCCGCATAGCCATTCGCTTATATGACGCAGCCGTACTGATTCTGGCTCTCCTCCCCCAAATGATGAGACCAAGAGGCCCGACAAGAATAAGAACTGTAAGGACAGATATGAGGATGTGCGTGTCCCGGATGCCCATGCCATCTAACCAGGGGGTCAGAGCAAATAAAATGCCGACTGTGAGCAAGTTTCGAATAAGGGTGACGCCAACGAGCGCATTTCCAATGACCTGGATCAAATTAGCAACTGCAAGTTCTGCCGTGGACCGTCGTAACTTACGTCGTGGTAACAGTCCATCGCGTATGCCAATGAAACAATGCCACCTGCAGTGAGACAAAACCCGTACAGACCAAAGCCCACAGCTAGAAGCGGCCAGGGGGCACCCTAAAAAAAAGTTAGAGACTGGAATGAGTGACGGAAAAGAGGGAAAGGGAGGGCAGCTTACAGAGTCAAGTCCCAGTCCAAACATGAGGATGCCGGCAGGGGCAATGACGGCCAGTGGAAGTATCATCCACAAACGCATTTCCGGCTCATACACTCCATGGTTGCGGTGCGCAAGCCATAGAATCAACTTGTCGTTCAAATAGCCTCCATATACAACACCTGGGATCGACGCAACAAAAGGTGCAATGTTCATCAACCCGACGCCAATTGACGTGAAGTTGTAGGGCGGATCAAACATATATGTCGCTTGCACGGAGATGAGAACGGCGAACCAGGCGAGTAGTACGCCATAAGCAATTGCCGTGTATGTGATGGCTGGGAAAGTAACGAGGATGATGAGCGGCTCATACACATCATGCAAAATCGATCCCTCAGTCACCGTAAAAAACGCAAGTCGTTGTCGAAACGACCTGACGGGAATCGATGTATCAATCTTATTCTGCCCTTCATTTCGGCTGAGCTCAGTCTCCCGCACGTCTGCTTCAGAGTCGAGGGTGTTGGCGACCAGGCTTTGCGTTGTTCCTCCGGACCGCCACTCGGTAAACACGTACTTTGTTTCCTCAAAGAAGAAAAGAACCAGTATCACGTTGATGCCGAATAGAACCGTGCACCACCACCAAACCCATCGCCATCCCTCGCTCTCGACGATGTAACCAGAGGCTACGGGTCCGAGATAGGCACCAGTAAAGGTGGCTAGCAGCGCGAGGCCATTGACAGTTGCGTGGTGGTGAATAAAGAACAAATCAGCAATGGTGATTTGGACAATCGTTTCACTAATGGCACCGCCAATTCCAGAAACGACATTGCTGCCGTACAAGTCGCCCACGGTATTCGTGCGCGCCGACCAAATGCACGACACAAACTGGAGCACTGTGCTAAACAAGTAGACCGGGCGCCGGCCAATCTTGTGGACGAGCGGGATAAAGGCGATGCAGCCAAGCGCAAGTCCTAGATAATTGGCAGCTGTTGAACCATTGAGAGTGTCTTCGTTGAATCCCAACTCATCAGAGTACTGGTCCCAGGCCGTAAATCCAACGTCGAGCTGAACAAAAGTGAGCAACGTATATAGGCATACGAGCGAAAAGTTGACCGCCTTGCGTGAGCCGGACCAGTTCAGAGGATCATTTGGGTCTGTTGTTGGAGCTGGGTGAAGAATCAACTTCTTACAGTCACCTGCATTGTCAATATAGAAATCCATCAAGGCCCCAGTTTACCCGTTCAAAAAAGGTTAGGTTCGCTCACCTTGTTCAAGCTTCACAGTGCCTGGGGGCAAACTGGCGGTCTCACCCGCAAGGGGCAGCGACATGCTGGAGGATGGCGCGCAACTTTACCCGCTTGAGTCGCTTGGCAAAAAAAAAAAAAGAGCAAGCATTTGTTACAAAGTTGAGAGAGATATCACAGGCCGCGGATGGGAACTTGCCTGGATGGCAACAAGACATCGTCCGCCCAGCGAAAATCAAGGAAATAGCGCTCGGTCGCTTTTGTCTCGTGCCGTCATCAGCGGTGTGGCTGGAATCATCAGCCCGTTTGCCGACGCTTCCGGGCTTGGTACTTGGTTTGGTTTGAGTGGCTGGCTGGTTGGACAGGGTGCCCACATCAGCCATGCGACGTTGGAGAATCGTATGGAGTAAATCTTGGACCAAAAGACAAAATGTTTATTCTTGCAGGGAGGGTTTCGCCTCACTGATGATGACCGAACCTTTAGATCTGTGATATAAAGGTACCAAATGTCGACGCTCTTTATGCTTCACCCTTGGTGGATGACTGGTGACTGCCAAGCTGAAGAACAAGACTCGTGTGAAGCCGCGCTGGGCTAGCCTCTGTCTCGGTTGGTGAGACGCATGTTGTCAGGTGTCAGGCAGGTGAAGAATCATGACCTTTCGTCAACTACTGACGCCTGCTTTTTGGTGTAACAGATGACGAACCTAGAAAGATCCCATCCCATCTAGGACTCTATTAGCTAGTAGGCAGAGGTATACCGGGTATATACCAAGGGTATACTTGTAATTTTACTATAAAATATAAATTAATTACTATTCTCATTATTATTATAATTACTATTATTATTAAAAAATTGCTAAGTTAATTCTTATTCTATAATATAATATATAAAAATTACTTTAGATATAAAGTTTTTAAATTAAATCTAATATTAAAGTATTTCTTAATTACTTATATTTTCTTTATAAATATATTATAATTCTTTTTATATATATTTTCGCTTTTTACTATTTTATATTATATTTATATAGAAGCCTAAATTTACATAAATGTCAAGAACTCGGGCTCTATAGCCCACCTTCCT